GAAAACAAAGTGAGAAAAAAAAAATCATGTTAAGTTTAAAGTTTTCCCCTCTGAAAATGCTTGCCGGGGTTTCACTGACATTATTAACCACGCAGTGCAGTCTAGGGGCCACTGCTGAGATCAGGAAGCAATTTTTTTTTTTTTACCGCCACATTGGTATGGGGGTGTTTGCCTTCCTCTGGTTGGGGTGGGGTACGGTCCTCTCCCTTGGATCTCTTAAGCATATTTTAACAATCAAGAAAGAGGCTGTAGTGTCAAGCAAGGATGTCTCTATGAAATCCTTCCCTGGAATCAGCATAAAATGCCCTTTTTGTTCCTCTCCCTTCCAGAACAGTGTTGCCGATCCCCTTTGCTACAGCTGAAATGCAGCCAAAAGTGGAAAGAAAGCCTGCAGTTGCCGTCGCACTGTGGCCGGATCTCCATTGCTTTAGTTGTACCTGGTGTCTGGAAAAGCCCTACCCCGGACTCTGACTCCTTTTCGGTCATTGAGACTCAGAAACGCTGCTCCTGGCAGGGGGAGAGTGAGAAATTGGCCGTGCAGCACACAAAGTCTCCGAGGTATAAATAAGATGCATGGGAACTTGTTGGACGACACAATGGAGAGAGAGCAATTCAGAGGGCTCTTAGGCTTTGTCTATACATGGTGTGCACTGGTTAACAGGGTCTTTATTTATTGTTCCAACTGGTGATGGTTATAGAGGCACTTTAGTCCCCTCCTGTACAACATAACCTCATCTGTGGTGCGGGGGGGGATTTGTACTGCATCCTTTAGGCTGCCATAATCCAAACAGTGCAGCTGTCGTGTAGAAGGGACCTTAGACGAGTTCCGTCTTAAATTTGGGGGTCTGATTCTTGCCCTGCAATTCGGGTTGTCACTCGCACAACTGCACACCAGCTGTAACAGATTTTCCACCTGATGTTGCATTCGTTTTGCTCCCCTGAAAATAACTGCACACAGCGAAGTGGAGAGCAGGGTCCTTGAGGGGCTTGAATCCAGCATTTACCAGTCACCAGATGGGCTGTGCTTGTGTATTGGGAGTTTTTTTAAAGCCACTCTTCAGCATTCAGGTACGTTCTCCCGATAACTGAACTGGACGGGAGTTTATCTCTGCTCTCTCCTCACTGCAGCAGTGGCCTCCATTCTGGTGCTTCACCACTGCTTGCCTTATGACCTGGACACATGACATTAATGTGAATTCCCTTGACTTTGGTGCAACAAAGAATGCTTTACCTCGGAGGAAGAACAGCAGGGACAATAACGTGACGTAAGTTATGCTACTGTAAGTGTTCAGCAGCCCAGGATGACTGTGGACGTACTTTTGCTCAGTGCAAACAGACCACATAATGGTATAGTGCCATAATAGTGCCTACTGTGACAGCTACCCGGGGACAAATGATCATCTGTCTGCTCCAAATCCCAGTACAAATTTAGTGCAAATATGGCTGTAAATAATATCAGTGTTAATGTATTGTATGTTCTGGCCCCGACTGCATTTCTGATCTGGAACAGCCTTGCGTATCCTGATGCTTTCACAGATGTTTTAGCTTTCCAAACATGCCTTGCTTTGTTTTAAGGACAAGGATTTCTTAGGGTGATCTCTTTTGTTAGGACAGATTTAGACTAGCATTGAATGCAAGACATTCTTCATTGCTTTGTTGTACTGATTGTTCTGTTCTAGTCCTCAAAATGTTTTGATGTAGCTGCAATGTAGACAGTTCTGTCACCCTGCTTTCTCAAGTGTATCATGTGTTTTCTGCCTGCCATTATTCACTTTGTGTGTGTCCTGAATATGGTTTGGGGCAGGTGGGGGGTGGAAATAATACAGAACACATATGGGTCACCGCTGGGCAGAGATTCTTTTTTTGGAGGAACTGATTGACTGCTTACTCTGGTTTTGGCATGGTTGTGTTGATAATACTTGTGCAAAAATTTCAAGAATTATGCTCTACAGCTTAAAACCTAGAAATTAAGCTGCAAGACTAGTGGCCCGACAGAGGATTCAGCAGGTGCTCTGCCACGTGCACGTGGGCTTCCAGGTACTATTTAAGATGTTGGTTTTTGACTTGTGTAGCTCTAAGCATACAGACAGTTGTAGTGAGATCCAAGGAGAAGGATAGAAGCCATAGACATGCAGCCGTTACTTCTGCACAAATCTGTAGCATCAGAGGTATAGCCAAAAGCCTCCAATTGGTTGGTGCGGGGGAGCAGGGCAGCTGTCCAGGATATTCTGTTGCAGACTGTGCTCCTAGTTGTGTCACTAGGGTGAGCCGATCATCCTAGCCTGGGCATCGAGTGAGGGGGCAGGTGTAAGGCATGCAGCTAGGGTGTCATGTGAGCCAGTGCCACTGCAGGGGGAGGGGGCAGGAGTGGCTGGGGCGGGGGAGGGGGCAGAAGATGCCAGGGGAACCGCACGACAGCGTTGGGTCTGGACAGTCCACGTGGCCCCCTGCCCCAGCCGGACAGCCCTGAGCTGCTGGTCCCCTGGTAGTAGCCATAGCAGTGTGACCCAGAAGGGCCCTTCCGCACTAGGTAGGACTCCTTAAAGGGCCCCAAAGGCATCCCCACACCCTCCTCCAAGTGCCCCTTCCCAACACTGTGCACCAGGTGCAGAAATGAGCCCCTTAAAGGGCCAGAAGGGCAGCGGGCGAGAAGGAGCCCGGCTCTGCTCAGCGTTGCTGGGAACAGCTCAGTGCTGCAGAGGGCAGGCACTTCTGGAGGGCAGCAGAGTGCCAGCACCGTGACGTGGTGCCCAGCCCCGGCCAGGCCGTGGCAAAAGCCCTCAGCTTGCTTGTACGTCAGCCAATCCCCAGTTGGCAGAGCTGTTCAGCGGGTGCTCGTGCTCCATAGCACTTAGGCCTCTTGTTCAATCAGTCCCAAATTTTGTTCTCAATGGGACACATTCATTAATGCACCATAGTGACTGCACATTAATTTTAGTACTTGGTTAACCAATGCATAGTTACTTGCGCATTAACGCCAGTGCATGGGTTTTTAGTGACACTGTGCAGTAGCCTAATACTACTATGCAGTAGTGTATTAGCACCGTGGCCGACTGGTGCCTCGTGAGTCGGGGTGGGGGGGGGGCACTTGTCCCCACAATGGCCAGTCAGTAACCAGCGGGCGGGGGAGGAGTGTATCCGTCTGTCCATCCCCCCACAGGTCACTGACTGGAGGAGTCCCCCTGCTGGCACTTCTGGGCACGCCGCTGACACTTCAGGTGAGTGCGATCAGCCATGCAGGGACCACTTCTCCTGGCTCCCCCACTCCCCAGCCAGTGCTCTCAGGGGGGCACCAACGCTCTCGCCTGCCTGGGAACACTGGCTGTCAGGAGGTGCACGTGCACACCCGTGCACCCCCCATGCACCACCTACACATCGCCGCTGATTAGAATGGTTTTTGTGCGGCACGCTACTGCACAGTTAGTGTCTCGTGTTAGTAATTAAGGTGAGGGAAATGAGGAGTCAGTCTATAGGAGTCAATTCCTACAACGTATCACAGCTGAAAGGCAGAATACGACCCGCACTTGGCTGATTTTTCAGGTCACAATGGTGTCTTAACATATCCTCTGTCATTTCCTTTGGCAAGGAACCAGCTCCTCAGTTGGTGGAAGCTGTCCACAGTGGCGCGACCAGCTGAGGATCTGGTTTAAAGACCAGCTCCCAATAAACTTCTGTACAACCTTTCAGCCTCCTTTAAGGCTCGATTCTGCTTGTGCACACATGCTCCTCAGCGGTACCTGCTGTAAGTGAGAGGATGATCTCTGAGGAGCTCAGTTAAAGTACCAAACACTTATGGACACAAAATATGTTATTTATTGTGAATTTTGCAAAGACACATTTAAGCAACAAAATATACATTTGTGGACCTTGAGAATCATTTTTATACATAACAAATACAATATGCTACTATAGCAATAAATTAAATGTACAGTATTTACAACAAACATAGGCAACCAGAAATTCTACAAAGCATCGCCTCTCTACAAAAAAAATATCTTCTTTTTTTGTCAGATACAGTCATTTAAGATTTGCTTTTCACACTATAAACTCTCTTCACATTCTAATATAAATTCAGCATTTTTCCTTTGCAGAACTTATACAGGGCTACATTCATGGGGGTGGGGGGAGATAATGAAAGCATGCTTCAAGACTTGGAGGGCAGGGGGGAAAGAAATCTTTACCATTTGAGATGGAACAGAAGTTCAAACTTAAGCAAAGCCACAGGAATTCAAGGACTGGACCACAGAGGGCCTGGGAACTGATTTTAATAGGTGTTGGAGATGCCCAACACCTCCCAGAGTTAGCCCCAAAGGTAGCTAGGAGATTTTATTGTAGGCCAGATCCTCAGTTGCTGTGAATATGTCCATACCTCAGCTAGTTGCTCTGACCCTTTGTCTGCCCGGGACAACCCAGCGCCCAATTCAGGAAAGTAGCAAATACGTGCTTAAGTGCCTTTGTCTTTTAGAGAAACACTTCAAGGTTGTGCTTAAGTGTAACGTGTGCTTAGCTTGCACTGATTCCAGCCAGGTGCAAGCATGTGATGGAGTGCTCCCCCGAACAAGGGCCAAAGCATGTTGGAGGGTCTATACGCAGCTACCAACCCATCCTCTCCAAGACCACAGTACCTTGAGAGGCGAGACAATTCTCTGTTCCAGTCTGCAGTGCAAATTTGCAACGTGAGACCTCACTGTATGATCGAGGTGGGATTTTCAAGAAACAGCCCCATGTCTGTGGTTTTTAACGCGGCGGGTTTGAAAACCCGGCTCTTGTTCTCTAACTGGGTTGTGTCCCCAGGATATTTCAGCAGCAGCTCCACTGCAGAATCAAAAGGCAAACTGCTACTTCATAGAGCTCAAACGCTTGATGAACATTTTGAAACTGAGGGTCAGGCCTTCAGTGAAGTCAGTAAAGCTACACTGATTTATACCCACTGAGGATCTAGCCTTGAATGTCTTGTTATTAAATAAATATACAGTGTTTGCATTTCCATAGTACCCATATGAATACAGTACAAGATCAGTGCAAGAATGTAAGACACCAGAACACTGTCCTCATATCTACAATTGGAGCCCGTCCCACAACGATTTATTTCCCATTGACCATCTAAAGAAAAGGATGATAAAAAGATTGCATTTTGCTTTCAAGTTTTGTCTCTCAAACCAGAAAAATGCACTGCCCAAGAATTTAGTGTCTGGCGAGGGTCCCCCTCTGTACGGGCTTCGATAGTTTTTCTCATCCCGAAAAGGATCCAAAACACTTGGCAATATATACAAGGAACTTCTTCATCATTATTTGAAGTGCAAATGCTTCAGAGGTGTAAAGTAGCGACCACTGGACAGCGCGCTGCACTGCTACAAGTCAGTTTAGGGCTGGAAGTGAAGAATACTGCACCCACTTCAAAGCATCAAGGGAACAGAAACAGGCAGAAAGCGGGCTGGGATTTGGCTAGGGGGGCAGCATTAAAATTCCTACTCTCGTCGAGCCTTACACAGGATCTTTAATGAGCAGGAGTACTTGAAAGCTTTGGAAAATACTGTCCAAAGATCATCTCAGCTGAAGTTGTGCAGGACTGGCCTTGCAAAGATGAGTCAAACTCCCTGCATTTCCTTCGCTCAGCTTTGGACCCTCCCCTTTGCCTTCAGTCACATTCAGCCCCAAGCTTCTGGACCTCCCCAAGTCGAGAGGAAAACAACCTCCTTTTCAACACTGCATCTTATGCTTCAAGATCTCACAGAGATCAACACTTAACGCTAATGATGAATCCAGCAGCCCAGTGGAACAGCAGGGAAAAAAAAAAACCCTCAAAGCCAAAGTAAAATAATAATGCTACCAATCACCATTTCACAAGGGAGTTGATCAAAAAGCTTTTCAGGGGAAAAGGGAGAAAAAACACGCAAAAATGCTACCAAAGCACATTTCAATATAAGCTCAAACATTTCTATGTTTGCAACCTGAGACATCTATAGACTGCTGCACAACTGGATGTAAAGGGGGGTGTGCTTGTTTCCCTCATCAAAACCAAAGGCTTGGTTTAAATATTTAAATCTTACTCAAATCCAGGGAAATTAAAGGGTGGGGAGGGTTCGAGTCATTCCTGTTTCTCATCATGATGATCTGGTTCAGGTTTCTATGTAGCTCAGTAGGTGCGCACAGGCAGAGCGCCTGAAGCACTCTCCCTGCTCAATGCCCCACGGCAGGGGTGGGCAAAATGCGGCCCGCCAGGCCATTCTATCCGGCCCGTGGGGCTCCTAAAAAATTTAGAAAATTAATATTTATCTGCCCTTGGCTGCCTGTCATGCGGCCCTCGATGGCTTGCCAAAACTCAGTAAGCGGCCCTCCACCCAAAATAATTGCCCGCCCCTGCCCCACAGTTTCAAATGACTGTGACGGGAAGAGAGCACAATTTTCATTCTTGGGCCTATTTTAAAGTTCTCCATTTTTTTCCCTTTAACTTCCAAATTTAGTATCATCTGTGTGCCAACTGTTCAACTTTGGCTCTGAAATTCAAATGCTGTCTTTTCAGTGGCAAGAGAACAACCTCATCCCCTGAAACATTTTTTAGGGAAATATCTGGATTCCCTTAAGAAACAAAAGTTTCTGTTGCATCTGAGATGAAAAACAGAAGCTTGTTTTTAAGAGGGAAAGGCACAAGCTTTGGACCAGCCCCATGCTGGACATAAGGAATAAAGAATAAAAAAAAGTAACAAGAACCTAGCAGAGGTATTTAAGAGTCGGCGGTATCTAAACCAAACAGTCACTTGAGCAGAAAACCAGAAAATGAAGTTACAGTTGCAAGATACCTGTCTCTATGCAGAGACCACAAAGGGCAAGAGCTTGGCCAGGGCTTTAATATGAATTTTGCAGTATTGGTAAAGGTGCTTTTGGAAAGAAATAATCTACCAGCCTCTCGCCACCTGGCAGAGGACATAAATGCAGCCCTCTTCCCCCATTTTCTGGCAGGACAACGGTCAGCTTCCAGGGAAGTCAACTTCTGATTCTTAACCCTAGTCCTTCATGTGCAAGTAAATACAAGCAGGGGTGGGCTCTCCAAAAGTGTAAAGGAATCAGCACAGCTCCACTGAGGCCAACGGGGCTTGACCTGACCCCTTAAACCAAAGCAGGCGTTGTTGCAACCCATGCTTACTATTGCACTTGACCGTTCCCATTTCAGCATCTGTCCCAGGTGGCGGTGCTTAGTCTTTGGCAGAGAAAAGGCTTTTAAATTATACAGGCCACGTCCCTCCTCTCTGCAGTTCAGCAGCTGATCAATGAAAACCTGCTCTCTGGTAAAATACCAGGTTCCCACAGTACTAAAGCAGCAAATTAAACCACAGCCGTCTGATTATCCAAGGTCGTGCCTTTGCTTCTGCCACTGGAAAGCAGGTCTAAAATGCGACCAAATCAGGGCGGCACCATTTAAACACTCCCTCTACATCAGTGCAAATCACTGCTCCAGGTGCAGGGCAACAACGCCTTGAGAGGTGAGGAAGGTGGGGTTGTCTAAGGGCAATGCTGCACTGCCACAAGTGAGATGTGGCCTCTCTTTCCACATGCCAAAGTGGATGTAGAGGTATGTGGCACTCGTTCTTTCCTCCCAGGGCACATCTACACGTTTATGAATGCACCTTAGATACTGCGCTTTTAGTTTAGCACTTAATACAGCATTAACTCAATGTGCAGTACCTAGAGTTACTGCACAGTAGCACCACTGCATGGTTATTTAGTGACACTTACTGTGCATTAGCCTAATAACACTGTGCAGTAGGCTATTGACATGGTTTTTGCTGGCTAACAAGACCAACGCGCAGTAAGCATCTCACATAGACATGCCCACAGTGCTGGAAATCCGGAGCACGTTCCATTGAAGTCAGTGGAGCTGGGCTGATATAACCCTGGTGTGAGATGATGAGATCAGGCCCACTTAAAGAAGAGGAGGAAAAGGA